GGGAGGTAGAGAAACATCAATGTGTGGTTGCCTCTTGAGCGCCCCCTACTGGGGAACCTGGCCTGCAACCCAGGCCTGTGTCCTGACTGGGACTCAAACCAGCAACCGTTTGGTTCTCAGGCTGCTGAGCCACCAGCCAGGCTAGAGTGGGTGGTCTTAAGGGAGCTATACCCCTGCAGGAGTTGGGTCGGCAAGGTGCCTCTGGCTTTCCCTGCCCCCCCAGCCTGATCCTGCACCCCCTCCCGCCCCGTCCCCACCAGCCCGCGTTCCTCACTGTGGGCTTTCTCACCCCCAACCTGGGATCATGCTGTTCCCACCACCGGGATCCCCTGGGCGCAGCCCTCCGTGCCAACCCACCGCCACCTGCCTACACGCCCCCGCCTTCCGGGTGGGCTACTGGAGTCCCCCTCCCGCCTCATCCTGCTCCATCGGCACCATCCTTGCTGGCTGCTCCTCCGCCCTGGCAGGCCAGCGTGGGGTTTGCTTCTCATTCTGCTGGGAGCTGGCCAGGCCCGACTCGGCAAGGCCCTGCCCTTGGGCTGTGCCCATCTATGGATTAGGTCAGTAAATATTGATGGAATTCCCAGGTGCCCTAGACCTGCTCCTTGGGGGAAGCTTCTTAAGCAGAGAAACTGGGATGAGCACATTCAAGTCACCCTCAGTGAGGCCTGGGCTGAGCCAGCCCACCTTCCCACCCCCACCCCCTGCTGCTGGAATAGCAGTGACCCACGGGTGTCCCTCCCCCAGACTCCCCCCTGTCCCAGGCTAGGGTCACGGAGAGGACACCATCTCATCCCCCCGCCCCCACACGCCTAAACGGCGCCCTCAGATTCTGTCAGCCCCTCTGGCAGGTGGCAGCCTTCACATCTGCTACAAGGACATCAACATCTTTTCTTCGTAAGAGATTTCACAAACGCTGGTTGCTGCAAACTTTTGCCTGAAAGCATCTCCCACAAAACGCATAACTGAGAACTACGTGCCAGGGAAACCAACTTGTGCTCTAAAATAGCGTCTCTTCTAGAGAGACTTGCTGGACCCCAGGCTTACTCGCCGCCCCCCCCCAGCTTCCACACCTCCCTGCCCATTTTGCCCTGTCTCCTCCCCAGACTGTGGGCTCTGAGGGCAGTGTGTACCCAGCCCTGGCACCGCGGAGTGACCAACACGATGTGCCAAGTCAGTTGCTGGACAGCGAGCGAGGAACCACATTCCCCGCCCGCCCAGCCAGCTTGTGTTTTGAAAATGAGAACCTGGGAGCTCCTCCTGCTCCCGGAATGTGGTACCCAGGGCAGGGACCGTGTTGGCAACAGCATCCCTTTGAGAACGGCCCCGCAGTTCTCTGGGGCCCAGTTGAGAAAAGGCTTGGTGTGAGCTGCCTGTGCCATGCAGGGAGTGACGACGGGCTTGAGGGCAGCTTTTCCGTAAAGTGACAAGGGAGGAAGGTCGGGAGGAGGAAGGTGTCCCTCTGTTGGGAGTGGCTGGCTGAGTCTGAGAAGAGAGGGGGGTGGGGCAGGGTGGGGGGGGAGCAGGCTGCCAGGGCACCCCCGTGACTGCGTGGGGAGCTCTGAGGGCTTCCGTTAGAGATGCGTGGGTTGAGCCTCAGCAAGGAAAATGAGAGTCTCACTAACGCCAGGGGAGGGAGCAGTCGGAGGCTCCACGGGGACCTCGAGACGGGAGCCGGCTCTCCAGGGGGAAAGCCCTAATCAGCATCGATGAAATGAAGCTCCGAACAGTTATTGGGAAAATAAAACTCTTTCATGTTTATACCTCGAGGGGTTGAGAGTCTTGGATCAAATCCGTTCTATTTAAATATTTACACGCACAAAACGCTTGTTTCTGCACAGATCTTCCTCAGAGGGCGTGAGTCGCCTTTGGGGGAGGACGACCAGGGCGGACCCGCTTTTCCCCTCTGCTTTTATGCCTTTTGGAATGTTTATACCATAGGCAAGCATTACACTATATTTTCAATTAAAGGGGGCAGAAGTGTTTTTAAAATTTTGTTAAAGGGAATGGGATGAGGTTTTCCTGTGTCTGACCTTAAACTAGAGTTGGAATGGACTTTTTCTTCTTAAGGCCCCGAGTGGGGGAGGGGGCAGCCGGCTGCGCGCTCAGCAGCCCCTCACGGGCAGCCGCCGGCAGCCTGGGTTTCCTTGCTGTGCCGGGCCGGCCGACCGGCCCCGTGGTCACAGGATTGGAACCAGCCTATCTTTTGCTCGCAACTGGGTTTTCCTCATCTACTTCCCGCACTGTGACAGAGGAGGGCCCAAGGGGTGGGGCTGTCGCACCCCTGCCTAGAACCAGCCCCCCCCAGATTTCAGAACGCCAGCCAGAGGGCCCCTGCAAAACTGCAGGTCTAAGGTCCACACTTACGGATGGGGAAACTGAGGCTGAGGGAAGGACAGTGACCCGAATGGAATCAGGACTAGAACTCAGGTCCCTTGCTTCCCAGGCCAGAACTCTTCGAACGCCCTACCCCCAAGGAACAGGTGACAAGGAAGGGTCCTCCTGTGTAGATGGTGGCAGAGGGGTAGGGGATTTAAATGGGCCCCTTTCACTCCGGGGAGGACCTGACAGCTGCCTGCCTGTGGGAGCTGCTTGTGTAAAATACCGCCCCCCCCAACTCTGCCCCGGCCTCCCCGGGCTGCTGCTCCCATCTCAGGTTCCATGCCCCACGCTGGCCTTCACACTCACACCCACGCACACTCACAGCTGCCCCTCCTCTATACCCACGCTGACTGACCCACTGGAATGTGATGGTGGCTGGAGACACACTGGGTCCCGGGGATCGATGACCGTCTGAGCTGGTGTCTGTACAGGTGCAAGTGCCTTGCCTGCCCCACTAGGCCAAACGTTCCCAGAGGACCACCTAGGCCACAGGTGCTCCCTACCCCCCAGGGGACAGCCCGGTGGCACCGGGTGCACCCTGAGATGCAGGCCCCAGGAAGTCAGAGCTGGCAGGGCTCGTAGGCAGCACACGCCTCGGAGCATAAACAGGTGAAAACGGGCTCCACGGCCAAACACACGTGGGACACGGTGTGAGCACGAGGGAGCCGGCTTCTCGGGCGGGGCCTCTCAGAGCCTTTCCTGTGCTGGCGAAATGCTGGGACCAAACCCAACTCGCAGAGACCTGAGGTCCACAGGGCAGAGGGCCGGCCGGGACAGGGCCACGGGCGGTCATCTCGCACCTTCGTGCACATAGAAATAGAAGCCCCTTTGAGACACTTTCATCGGTGGGAAAATGAACCCCTGTGACTTTATTAGAACAAGACCCCTTACTGCCACCTGCTGGACACACCTCACAGTAAACACAGGGCTACCGTGTGTGGGAACACACCCGCCTCCCCCAGTGCTCCTGTCCGGTGTGCCACCTGCCCAGCCCTGCAGCCTTGGGCCCCTCTCCACCTGTAGGACTTCTGTTGTCCCAGGGCAGTGGTCTGAACTGACCTCCCAAGTATCACCCCGGCTGGGACACACGCTTCTGAACCTCTCACAGGCAGACAGGGACACTGGGGGCCTCACCTGTCACCCCTCCCACACATCACTGAGTCCATGGGAGGCTCAAACGACTGACCCCTGAACCCTGCCCTCACATGCTTTTGCACTGAGAGCACTGACTTGGGAGCAGGGCCTGAGATCCAGACCCGGCACGGCCTTGAACTTGCCGTGTGACCGTGGGGAGTCCTCAGCCCTCTTGGGGCCAGCTTTCCCTTCTGTACAGTGAGGCAGCTGAGCTTGGCCATTTCCAGGAGCTCAGAGTCCTGACAGTGACCCTCCACCCCCCAAACCCCTGGAATTTTGAGAAAAACGGGAAGGTCACACTCCCGAATGCTGGTAGAAAGACAGTCCAGAAGACCGCAGAATACAACCTGAAGTTTTTTATTGGACTAGGAAATATAATTTATTTCATAAAAATTAATCTTGTTACAATAGGAATGCTAAATGTTATTTACAGGTTGTAGTTTACAGAATAAAGAGGTGGGATCAGGCCATCCCTGCAGCCCTGCAGCCCCGGGACGCCTAACCACGCCCCTGGCCCAGGCAGCGGGGCCAGCCCTTTGCCCCTAGGAGAGCTGCTCCCTCACCCCAGGCTCCTGAGTCACCTCCCCTCAGAGGACCTGCTCAGGGACCTGGCTCAGCTGCCTGGTTGGGGGGGGAGGGGACAGGAGGCCCCGGGTTGTCCAGGAGACGGGAGGGTTCTCACACCCCCAGAAGGACCCCTGGCCGGAGACTCTGGATCCTGGGCACTTCAAGAGAAGGCAGAGGGAGAGGCACGTAAAAGATACACTGACTGACCCTATGGACTCGGAGAGGGCAGAGAAGGGCACGCCAACCTCTGGGTGTCCCAACTTGGGACTTGAGGGTGGCACACTCTCACACGAGTGGGGACACGTTTCTGGAGGGGAGCCCTGATGTGCCCACGTGTGAATAAAAGCACACACACACAGGGCAGTGCACACACGCACAAACACACCCCAGAGATGGAGAGACATAAACACCCCAGGGAGGGCCACACAAGTGCCACGGCGGTACTCGGGCCACGTGGGGCTGTAGTCACGGCAGGCTCAGTAGACTGATGGAGCCACTCAACCCTCTCCCGGCTATTCTTTATAAAGCTGGACAGCCTGAACCTTGCCCAGGGGGCTCCCACCAATCAGTCCTGTGCTCCAGGCCCTGGTGCACAATTCCGAGGAATCAGAGTAGTCCTCGCAGGCACCGAGCAAGCAAGCGTCTGAGCGCAGTGGGCAGACCGCAGACACTTCTATCCAGCAGGCTCCCACACAAAGCCTGGAATGAGTGAGCCAGAACCCAGAGGGCTCAGACAGCAGCTCTGAGACCTTCTAGCAATAACAAGGAAATGAGGCCCCGAGAAGGCAATCCTATGCCTGAGGTCACGTAGTTTAATGGCAAAGCTGAAGACTGAGGTCTGGTCTTGGGACTCCAGGCTGCCCACGGGCATTTCAGAGCCTGCGCTGGGAATGGCACCATCTCCCGGTGGCACATCTCCCGGTGGCACTGGTCCGGCTGCTCTCGACTCCATACGATCTATCACACAGGCCCCTATGACTGGGGCTGGAGTGGCCCGGACGCGAGCCCCGGTGGCAGAAACTCCTGACAAGGGTGGCTCACGGCCTTGCCTGAGGCAGCAACCACACAGGCACTGGGGTCCCAGCCCCCAGGAGGGCCTGTCCCCTTCAGCAGCCCTGACACGGGGAACCCTTGTGAACTTCTGAGCAGGACCTCACCGGCCCAGGGCCGGCACACATGCCGAGGGGGGCAGGGAAGCCAGGCTGGGGATGGTGGCTGGAGCTGCAGCCCTAAGACCTGCTCTCCTCTCAGGTGACCAGACTTTCAGAGGCTGGGAGGTGCCCAGGCTGGTTCCGGCAGTGGTTTGTGGGCCTGTTGGGGCAAGCGCAGGGTCCGTGCCTGGGGCTGGCACGTGCTTTGCCTGGGTGCCGCAGCGAGGCCTTTGATGAAGTCTCCGAGCCAGGGGCCTGGTCCCACCCACCGTCAGACAGCTGAAAAGGGACAGGGATGCATCTCCCCCTGAGCCAGGTCCCTGCTGGCCCCTCAGAACATCCTGGAATAGGCTGGTGAGGGGGTGCCAGCCCCTCCTCTCTGGCAACCCTTCCTGTTCAAAAGTTACCCACCTCAGGAACTCCCAGACTACAGAGGGAGAGTGAGACAGGGAGGGTGAGAGAGGGAGGGAGGGAGGTGCCTGCAGAGATCAGAGTTGAGAGAATTGCCCTCCACCCTCCCTCCTCCACTCTGGGAGGGTGGGAGGGCATTAAAGCTCAGGCAGGCCACCCACCTCCCAGCCTCCCAGGCGGCGGGGCTGCCGCTAACACATTCCTCAAAGCCGCACCACCGAGGCCCAGCTCAGGCTTCTGACGCTAGAGCGGCCCTCTCATCCCCCTTTTCTGTCTCATGGAAGGAGACAGTGGGGGAAGGGCGAGTTCTGGGTTCCTGGGATTTAAAAGAATGCCAACCTGCTCCAGCCTACCTGTTCTAGAGGCTGCCGGGAGCGGGCGTCCTGGCTGGCCCCGCCTTAGGGTGGAGCAGAAGAGGTACCCACAGGACTCCCTCATATCCCACTTCTTTCTCTGCTAGGGCCCCGCTTCCAGGCCACGCCCCCTCTCCGGGAGCCACCAGACCCTGGTGCTGGACAGTCTCCCCGGCGGCACAGCTGGCCTGGGCGGCCCACAGGTCCCTCCCGGGGCCCAGAGCAGCCTGGAAGGGAGGGAGAACCCCACTCACTCCGGAGCTCAGGGCTCCTTGGCTTTATGAACTCAGCGTCTCCTTAAGATTTTAGAGGGAATCATGTACCATGGCTAAATCCCCACCTGAGCCTGTATAACTGGGGGAAATGGAGGGCTTGTAAGAATTCCGTCTAAGATGGAATCATTAGCAGCAACGGGTCCCTCTCTCCCTAGTCTCACTCACACAGACACACACACACACACACACACACACACACACACACACATACTCTCTCTCTCTCTCTCTCTCCCCCTTGCTCGCTTGCTCCTGGCCAGAACCGTGAGTGAGCCCACATTCATCCACACTCAAGAAAAGAGTTTTCTATTTTTTTGTGTTATTTTTCATTTTCTTTCTTTTTTTCTTAAAAAGACTTATCCAAATATCTGGATAATAAATCATTTGCGTTTCCTAAGAAACTGGGTTTTTCTTTTCCCTTGTGGTTTTGGTGTTTTTCTTCTTCTTCTTCTTTGAGCCTTACTAGCAGTATGAAGCTTTCTTTCTCTCATTTAGCTTTTGGACAGGAGAAAGCAGTCTGTCTGAACTGTACTTGACTCTTCAAAGAGGAAAATGGTGTGAAGACAGAGGGCTTAGGGAGGAGGGAGAAACGAGTAGCTGAGGAAGGAAATTAAGAACAAAACTAAAACGAACTTGACCCAGAGGTCCCAGGGCTGCATGTGCAGGGTGGTGGAGGGCAGAGGTGGAAGGAGGACCACCCCTTGCTCCCCTCACTGCTTCCGGGGGCCTCAGCCCCTCTGGTTTCTGCACGAAGGTCTGAGGCCAGGAGAGACAGCAAGGGTGGGGACGGGACACCAGGTCCTCCTGACACCAGAGTCCCCGGAATTCCTAAGGCTGGTTGTGGTCTGGGGGTGGGGTGAGGGAGGGGCAGGAGGGGTGACTCTGGCTGTGAGTTGGGGGGCCATGGAGGCCGAACTGCCCCACGGGAAGCTGCCTGGCCTCCCCGTAAACCGCCACCTGCCAGTCCCTCTGAGCCCGCAGTCTGGGCAGCTCAGCAGTCCCCGTCAGTGGCCATGGCCACCAGCATCTCACTCTTGCCCATCTCTTCCAAGGCACTGGCCAGGCTGTTGAGGTCCCCGTCATCCTGCTGCAGAGCTTCCCAGAGGTCCAGGATCACACCTGTGGGGCTTGCTTTGGTGGCAAAGTAGTTCAGGTACCTGGTGGAAGGAAGGACACCGGGCTGCCCCAAAGCTCAACACCTCCCAGAAGCCTGGGTGTGCGGAGAGCACGGGGAGGTGGGGAGGCTGCAGACTCTGGGGTCCCGCCCTCCTGGGTCTGAGTCCCAGGTCCTCTGCTCGCAGGCTGTGTGGCCTTGGGTAAGTTACTGCGTCTCTCTGAGCCTTAGTCTGTTCAGCTTTAAAACAGGAACTGTCTAGCTCGCTGTCAGTCATCATCTTATTATGGCCCCAGGGGAGACTGCCGGAGCCCAGGACCCCACTCTCCCCTCCCCCCACCTTCACGCTCTGCCCACTCTGTCCGCCCGCACTCCCGAGGGAGAAAGCCTTCCACAGCTTTGTGGATCCCGCCCACTTCTAGTAAGATGTCTTTTTTAAGAAAAAAGATGTATTTATTTATTTCTAGAGAAGGGGAGGGAGGAAGAAAGATCAACGTGAGAAGTAAACACTGAGTTCAGCTGCCTGCCACATGCACCTCGGCCAGGAGGACTGCGGGGACCAAACTCACAACCCAGGCATGTGCCCCGACCCGGAATCAAACCAGCGACCTTTCACTTCGCAGGAGGGCACCCAACCAACTGAGCCACACTAGTCAGTGCTCTGAAAAGATGTCTTAAAAGTGGCATCTGCTCAATGCAGGTTTGCCAAATGGTGTCTCAGTAAGCCTAATTATCATTAGTAATGATTATTATTGCCCTCGTATTTATCCAGCATTTTAACTACTCTGGGAAATTTCTGACACCTCAGCCCACCTTTCCAGGGCAACTGCTCTGTCCTGGGCACTGGGGTGCTGATGGCGCTCACACCTAGCCGGTGCCTGGCTTTACCCCACTGTCACAGGCCAGTACTATAAGCACATGCTTCTCAGGGAATGGGCGCCCCGGACTCGGCACACTGGAAGGGGAGTGGAAGTGGCTGCAGTCTGGGCGGCCGGGCCTGCGTCCCAGCACTCACCGGTCCATGGAGAGCTTCTTCGCCAAGAGGCGCCAGTCATTGCCCCGCGAGTTCGGGGCGTCCAGGCTGTTGCATATCTTTTGGCGGATAGACAGTGGGATCTTGAAGGCATAGGGTCCCAGCTGGGTGGTCAGTGTGCTGCTGGGGGCAGAGCAGAGGGCATCCAGGGAGCCAGCAGGTGTCTGGAAGGGAAGGGGTTAAGGGTGAGAGGAGCAGGGGTTCTCCATGCATGGTGCTAAGCGTCTGCCCCTGTAGCCTTCCTGCATTGAAACTATGAGCTAATGGAGGCTCCATTCAGTCCCTACCTCCCCTGGATCGGCCTCAGCTGCTTAGTCCAAGGCCTTCTCCCCTGGAGGGTCAGATCCTGAGGGCCAGGGCTGCATGCCTAACCTCCAGCCTCCGGGGGTACACCAGGCTAATGGACTGCCCCGGGTGAATGGTGATGCAGCCTCAAGATGACGTGCCCTGAGGAGCCGAGCCAGTTTACACACGTGGAAAACGAAGTCTAGAATGGAAAGCGACTTGCCCATGATCACATCCACGCTGGTGGCACAGCTGGGTCTAGACCTGTATCTAGTGCTGTTTACACTGCTCTACCAGGAGGGTCCAGCACTGTCCCCCTGAGGGGCCTGGGTTTTGGGGACCTCAGTCCAGATTCACAGCGGTGGAGAGCTGCAGGCTGGGGCCAAGCAATGACCTGGCACGAGGTCGACGGTACCCGCCCTCCCTGAAACCTACTTTTCCGTCTCCCAGGTGGGATCACCGGACGTCTCCCTGGTGACTGTGAAGATCTAGTGAGATAATCTGTGTCATTTGGCATAGAACACATCACGCAGAGAGTTGGCACTCGACAAATGGCAGCTGTTAGCAAAGCGTGACTGAGCCCCAGCTCAGACCTGGGGGGCGTGGGAGACGGCATTTCCACAGAGATGTGTGTGGAGTGAGCAGGGGGTCCGCCTGCTGCCCCCCCGCCCTCACCTCTGCCAGTGTGGTGTGCAGCTGGAATATCTGGCCTTCCCCTTCCACCTGCCGCACGCAGATCTTGCAGGCGAACTCCGTGGCGGCCAGGCTGTGCCTCTCCAGGGTGAAGGTACAGTGAAGAGCCTTCTGGCTGCCACTCCAAATGTGGTAGAAGGGGATCTCCTGGGGAAGGAGCGGAGCCAGGGTCAGGGAGACAAGGCCAGCCTGCCCTGGCCTCAGGGAATGGGGGTGGACGTAGGTAACGGGCCCAGCGCTGGGGGCGGGGGGCTGGGACCTCTCCATGGAGCAGTTCAGGCCTCTCCATCTAGACGGGCAGAGGAAGAGCTGGTCAAGGACCCTTCAGCTGAGAAAGGGAAGGAAGGAGGCACAAGTCTGAACATGTGAGTTTGTGTGCGTGTGTGCCTGGGGCTGGGAAGCCAAGGGACTCTGGTGTCACAGATGGGTGGGGCAGAGCGATGTGACCACCGTAAATAAGTTTGGACAGTCTGTCAGGCGTAAGTGCTCTTAGAAGTCCTTGAAGATGATGTGGACGGACATCTGTGCATGGGAACGTGAGGTGGGGGGGAGTGTGAGTGCAGCCTCAGGACGCCTGGGGAGGGTGCGTGGCCAGGCTGTGGGAGGCAGACGGAGACGGAGGGGTGGGGTGGGGCTGAGGCTGCAGGGCTGAGGAAGGAGCAGAGCCTGGGAGGGGAAACTGGTCTTCCTGGGGCAGATCCCGATGTGTGCCCGACCCCAGCGCCAGCCCTCCCCCTCCCGCGGCCCAGCCCTCACCTGGTACTTGGCCAGCAGCTTGCTCTTCCAGTGAGCGTGGGGGATGTCGTGCAGGGAGAGGCGCAGGTTATGGTAACTGTTCTTAAACAGCAGGGGTTTGGGCTCCTCCACAAGGTAGCCACCCAGGGTCCGCTCCAGCTCCAGCACCTCCTGTGCGTCGGGGGGCAACAGGAAGGAAGAGCCCGTCGTACCTGGCCAATGGGCCCTTGTCTACTATAAGCTTGTGAGCTGAGACAGATTTGGGCAGAGGGAACCAGGCTGTAACACTGCAGGCAGAGACCCACCTGAGCACAGGGCTGGGCATTTGGTAGGTATCATCTTAGAAGGCTTATGTGGATACGTGGGTGAATAGAAAAAACATGCATAGGTACCTGGATGAATAGTGGGATGGATGTACATAAATGGGCAGAATAAATGGATGGATGGATAAACAGAGAGGTGAACAGAGAAACACAGAGAGACGGATATACAGACGGATGGATGTGAAATGAAGGACAGATGGAAGGAATGGCAAACTGGCGGGTGTGTGAGGGCTGGACGTACAGAGGGGCTGCTGACTGAACGAGCATGTAGACAAGTGAGCAGAAAGTTGGGTGGGTGGATGGATGGAGGATGGATGGACACACGGACCAGGACTGAGTAAACAAAATGCCGCATGCCAAAATGTGGCAACTTCCCTCTCGATCTCCACTCCATCCCCTGGCCAAAGCCGGGCATTAGCCCGTGCTCCAGTACCAAGAGCGCCAGGCTGCAAGGCCGTTTCCCAGAAGTCTCCAGCCCGTCATGGGCCCTGATGGAATTTCAGGCCAGTGTGGTCCCAGCAGGACACACGCACTCTCCCTCCCTTGAGGCCTTTTCACCTCTGTTGCATCAGCTGGCAACTTGGAGCTTGAGACAAGTTACATGAGACTGGGAGCAAAGGAGCTGGAAGAGAGCACCTGTGAACAGGTGTCCTCCAGGTCTCTGTCCCTGCCCACTGGACACGTGCCAAATTCCTTGGCGGGGCCCCGAAAGTGTTAGGAAGCTGAGTGCTGTCTCTCTGGCCCCCGCCTCTCTCCCTCACACTTCCCCTGCACGCTTTGGTCGCACGGAAAGATTCACGTGCTTTTGCATCAGCTGCTCCGTCTCCTGGAATGCCCATCCTCTAACCGGCACCCATCCTTCTCCTTTGGAGCCTGCCAGCTCTGCTGTGAAGCCTTCTCACAGACCCCCTCCCCAGCAACCTGGGCCCTGAAAGCCCTTTCCGGGCTGGTGCTCCCTCAGCCCTCTGGAAAATCACCATCAGGGACCACCTCTCTATAGTCCACCTCTAGCCTGGAGACTGGCGAGTTCAGGACTTGTGCCTGACTCATCTATGTATCTCAGACTCTGATGCCATTTCAATGTTTGAGGAATGCATGAACGACTGAGTGAGGCGGACGGTGGTGCAGGATTGCCTGGAAGGTACCATGGTCCCAGGGAGGGGGATGCTAGAAGATACCATGCAGCTGGCTGGCTGGGGGTGATGTACCTAACAGGGTTCCAGGGCTGTGTGGGTACCTGTGGCCTGGCCTTACCTTCAATGCTACAGGCGTGTCCTCCAGGCAGTAGACCCTGAGGCTGTACTCCAGGGACGTGCAGAGGGCCGGGGCGAAGATGGCCAGCTGGAGCCGCTTGACTGCCGAGCGGGAATAGGACTCACCCATGAAGACATAGGTGCCCAGCTGGTCTAACAGGATGTGGCAGGACCTGGCCTCCAGCTGGCAGTAGCAAGGGGTGTCCAGGGTCTCCTCGTCCAGGGTCACCACCTCCTGCAAGGTGAGGATGGGGGTGGGGCAGACAGGTCGGCATCAAGGCCTGGGAGGGGGTCGATCCAGGGTGGGCCGAGGGGAAAGGAGGCAGGTTCGGATAGCGGGCCCGGTCCCCCAGCTTTGGCTCCTCACCTCCCAGTGGCCCTGGTGGGCCTGGGTCTTGAGCTGGAAGATCCAGTTGCTGGCACTGACTTCGGCACAGTGGGGCACCGTGAGGATGACGGGGCGGCACAGCAGCAGGCCTGTGGGCCCACAGGTCACCGAGGGGCTCAATACTGTCTGGGTCCCTTCCAAAAGTGGGCTGGGGGAAGGCGGGAGGCAGTGAGGGGAGGCTGCAGAGCTCAGCCAGGGCTTAGTTAGATGGGTCTGGGGCTCCCACTTCTGTCCCTGCTCCTTGGGTGACAGGGGGCAGGTCCCCACCCCTGGGGCTACCAGAGGTCAGGGGTTAAGGGGAGGCAGAGAAATGGCATAGACCTTCAGACTTTCCAGACTTTTGCTATCGCACTATGACATTCTCACAGCCCAATCTGTGCTCCCATTTTCAAAGATTCTGCACTCTTGAAATATTTTTGAAAGGTGATGATAAACTGTCCTATGGAGCCCTGGCTCAGTAGCTGAGAGCTATCCTTGAACAGAAAGGCTGCCGGTTCAATCCCCACTCAGGGCACATGCCTGGGTTGCCCGCCAGGTCCCCGGTTAGGGGCGTGAGAGAGGCAAACAACTGATCAATGTTTCTCTCCCTCCCTTCCTCTCTCTTTAAAAATAAATAAATAAAATATTTTTAAAACCTCACAAAAACTGTCCTCTGGAAAGCTAATACCACTGTCCACTCCCATCAGCATGTCATGGAGGGCTGGGTTCCATGCTTTTGCTGGTAGGAAGGCATTATTGTTTGAAAAAAAATCTTTGCAAACTTGCAAAGCAAAACCACCCAGTGACTCATGGCTGCTTGAATTACTATTTGACTACAAGGTAGGCTACATGGTTTCTCACATCTATTGGCCACTGTGTGTGTAAATCACTTGTTCACGTCATTTGCCCATGTTTGTACTGAGATGTTCAGTTTTTCTTATTGGCCCCTAAAAACTGTTTACATAGGAAGGAGATTAGACTCTTGTCCTATCATGGCCAGTCTGTAAATTGCCTTTCAAGTTATGGGGGGGGGGTTCAAAAGAACCCCTGGAATTATCTTCTGGAGGGTGGGCCCCATTGTAGCACAGACTTCACCCAGGTGAGTGTTCTAGGAACCATCCATACCAGCTGGCACTGTTGTGAGAGGCTGTGTTCTGCTTCAGTGGAATTTTTTTGAAGACTTTGAACGTGTCTGGCCCTTTCACGATGGGTGACTTGCCAGTGCACCTGCCCACACTGTGTTAAGTGTTCAGCAGTTTTTGACCAAAGATGGCACGATCCCTGTGTCCCAATTTCCCTATTCACCCGATCTCCTCAAGAGTGACTAATTTTGTTTCCCTGGATGAAAAAAATCCTCAAAGGAAAATGTTTTGGCAACGTGGCTTGAGGTGAAACAAAAAAAGGCAGAAGCACTAAAAGGTATCAAAATCTATGAGTTCAAAAACTGTTTTGAGCGGTGGGGAAAACGTCTCAACAGGTATATTGTGTCAAATGGAGAGTACATTGAAGGCGAATGAAGTTTAAACACGTAAGAACGACTACACAATTTTTATAAATAGGTTCTGGTGTTCCTGCCCCCCCCCCCCAATTAATGATTTGTTGTGTTGGTTCTGCGAGTTTTTGAGTGGACACAGGAGATCAACCCGAGTTTTCCTTGGAGGACTACCGCTAGCCTTGGGGTCAGGTTGGAGAGGGAGAGGGTGACGGTCTCAGCCCAGGGCAGGCAGGCAGGCGGCAGGGGGAGAGGAAGAGCCAGGGGGAGCCTGGGCCAGGGCTGGGGTCCCTCTACTCACAGGGTGCTTTCTGCCTTGTTGATAAGGAGGTACATTTCGTAGAACTTGCCCTGGGGGATGGCTCCATTGGGCACCAGCAGGCTGACCCCTAGGAGGAGAGAGAGGTCAGCAGGGAGGGGCTGAAGGAAAACCAGGAGCTTTGAACAGGGGACAGGGGTCGACCTCCAGCTTGGGGCAGGGAGAGAAAGACATCGCTTGAGCTCCAGGTGGCCACCAGCAGGGACGGGGAGAGAAGGTCTGGCACTGGAGAGAAGTGGCAAGCAGGCCACTGACCAGAGAGGGCCCGTCAGTAACACGGCGCCTCTGGCACTGGGGTGGGGCGTAGAGATGGGACGGAGGCCTGGAGTTGGAAGGTCTCAGTGCTGACTCCCGCCTCGGGTATGATGTTGGGTGACTGCTAACTGTGGGCTCTGCAGCATGAGATGGGCACCCCTGCCCTTTCCGATGCCAAAACCTAGACAGCTCTGTAGGTTAGTTGAACCACAGGGGGCATCCCCCCCCACCAAGCAGATGAAGAAACTGAGGTGTGGAGAGTGGCTGGGCCAAGGTCGCCCACCAGCAGCGAGGCAGAGGCAGGCCTCAAGCCCAGACCTTCTATTTCATAGTCACATCTCTCCCTGGGCCTCACTCTCCCTGAAATGGGACCAGGGAAGTCCTTTCTTCTGCTGGGACTGTCCAGAGGATGTGCCAAGGCCGGGCTTACAGGCAAGCAGAGAGGAACCCACCTGTGCCAGGGACGCTGAGCCTCCCGCCCAGGCAGCCAAAGGTACCGCTGACACTGCTCCCTGGGTCACGGGGCAGGCCCAGGAGCTGCTGGGAGCCGAGGCTGGCACTGCGCAGGTGCAGGAGGTGGGTCTCCCGGGAGAAGTCACCAGGGTACGTGCCCGGCGGCAGCACCCCTAGCAGGTCAGCCCCGTCTGGCAGGCCTGACCCAGAACCGGTGGTGCTGGAGCTGTAGACCTTGATCTTGAGGTTGGGCAGGGGGTCCAGCAGGGGCGAGTTGGTCATGGGGATCTTGTCGGCTGAGTCCTGCAGGGCGTACACCGGCCCCCGGTAGATGCTGGCATTGGCTGTGAGGTCCGGAGGCACGGAGGGGTGCAGGAGCTGCGGCTGGCCTGTGGGGCGGTGGCGGCTACAGTCAGGCCCCAGTGTGGCCCCACATTCTGCTCCTGCCAGGGACCCCGCTGTCTCAAACCCTTCACCCCCCACCAAATACCCAGCTGCAAACATCTTGGGGGACTCACCACCCCTCCTTTCCTGCACCTCTCTAATCTGCACCAACTTACAGAGTTACCTCTAGGACTGACTCTGAAAAACCCCAGGCGGGAGTCAAGAGCCCCCACTCTGGCCCAGCTGGTCTATCTACCATGCCCCACTGCGTGCCCTGTCACCCCTGCCAACCCAGGTGTCCCGGGTTCTTACTGGGCCTTGTGGTCTTGAAGTTGACTGGGTGGAAGCCTCCAGTCAGGGCGGCGGACGAATCGGTGATGTCAGCGTCCGAGTCTCGGCACTTGCGGCGGTACACCACCACCCCCACCACCATGAGGACAGCCACCAGCACGAGGACGGACACCACGATGCCGGCATACAATGCCACATCCCCCGAAGACTCCAGGACTGCAGGGACAGGAGGGCTGCGTGAGGGGCAGGGGCAGAGACCCAGGTCCTGGGGGAGCAAGGGAGGCCCAGGGTCCCTGGGGGAAGCAGGGCCTGGGTGCTAGTCTGAACCCTGCCATGAAAGGCAGCGACCTCGGGCAAGGCTTGGACCTCTCTGAGCACCAGTCTCTACAGGTGAAATGGTCTCAAAACCTCTGCCCTGCTCCCCCTCGATGCGGCAAGGAGAGGCAAAGTGACTCTTGGTCACCCCGGAGAGTACACCATAGCCCGCCGCTGAGGAGGGGTCAGGTCTGTGGTTTGGTCACCGAGGCCACAGCCTGTCCTGGCGGAGCCAGGGTCAAAACCGGTCTCACTTGCAGCCTGTGGCAATCTCCAGAGGACCAGAGGGCCATGCTTGCCTGGTGATGCTTGCAAGTGGTGGCTCTAAACCACACCCCCCATGGTCTCCCGTTCTGTCCCGAAGGGTGGGAGGTGGAGGTGGAGGTGGAGGTGGAGAGGCAGGAGGGGAGAAATGCAGGGCGATGGGGTGAAGAGGAGGTGAGTAGGTGGAGGGGAAGGAAGGGGCTCAGGGAGGCAGCCCGAGCTACAAGCCCCTCCCCCAGGTGGGCCACCGAGCTGCTGCGCATCTGGAAATCACCCCACACAGCCAGGTAGGAAGCGGTCAGGGTCAGGACTCGGGCTAGTAAGGCTGTCCAACAGAGCTTCCTACAATGACGAAGACATGCTGTGTCCGCACTGTGACAGCCGCCAGCCATACGTGGCCGCCGGACAACTGAACTGTGGTCGGCGAGACTTAGGAACTGAATTTTAACATGTATTTAACTTTAATTAAGGCGAATGTAAGTTTTAATAGCCACACATGGCTAGTGGCTAGCAAGCCGGACACAGGCAGCGCCTGTGTGTGCCCCTCACTCCCTGGGCCCTCAGGGAGGGGGGCCTGCCCTCCTGCCTGGACCCCTCCAGCCCCACCCCCAGGGTGGGCTGGAGCCTCTAACCAGGCGGGCGTGACAGCTGCCCACTTCCTCAGCCTCTGGCCCCTCTGCTGGCCTCGGCGGCCCTCAGGGCTGCATTCTCACCTCTCTGGGGCTTCTGGCTCCCTGGGCCGGGCTCTGCCCCCCGATGTCCTTGCTAACCACTGGGGGCCACTGGCCTGAGATTTACCTTCTCTAATTAGTCAACCGCTTGGCCCAGTAGTGAGCTGGGCTGAGGGGCTCACTGCTGGTTTTATGACTCCACAATTATTTGGAAACTGTGGTTTAATTACCACAGGCTAATCTCCCAGAGCGGCTTTATTGCTCTAGTATTAGGGCCGCATAGCCTCTGGGGGCCGGAGGCTGAGGCCCTCGGGGCTGTAGGCAGCCCGAGGAACTTGGGAGGCTTTGGCCCAGCTGCTGGGGAGGGGGGGTGGACCATGCAGGGTGGGCCTGCCCCCGGCCCTGTTCCAGAGAGGGACGGCCAAGGGCATGGGGCTTAGAGCTCCAGGTTTGACCAGGAAGACATTTCAGCTGAAACCCGGGCTGGATCCCTGGGTAAGCCCCTTCTCTTTGAGATTCGGTTTCTTCTCCTGTAATTCAAGGGTCAGGTGATGCGCTAGGGCCCCTCTGTCGGCCGAGGGTCTGCCTGTCTGCATGTAACGGAGGCCGTGACTCCGCAGCGTGGGGTCCTAGGAACCCCGTGGAGGCTGGTGGGGAGGTGCCTCAACCTGCCCGGCCCTGCCCCCCCACACACCCTGGAAAAGTCAGGTAGGGAGAAAGGAGAGAGAATGGCCATGAAATGGGACTTACGGTGGCTTTTGGGGTCACTTAGAGTTTTCTTATCTGTCAAGGGAAATAAAGGGAAAGACAATGATACAGGTGGCAGGCAAAGGTGGCAGAGAAGGTGACAGAGACTGGCATGGATGAGACAATGGATGGGGCGGGTGGGCAGAGGCCCCGAGGCCTGGGGTGAGCCCGGGGTGTCCCTCACCGGGCGCCCCAGAGCCTGCCCTGCGACCCCACCCTCCTGCGGACTCACCTTGCAGGCACAGCCCCCCGGTGCAGTTCTGGGAGTCGAGCAGAGCCCCGCTGCAGTCTCGGCCTCCATTCTGGGGCGGGGGCGCCATGCACTCCCGGCTGCGCCAGTGGGCACACTCGGTGCCGCAGGCTGACCACTTGCTCCACTCCGTCCACGCTCCGTCCACTGCAGGGGGAGCACACGTGAGCATGGACGTGTGCGCAGAACACAACTATGTCCATAGAACACAACAGCGCACTACACAGGCCGCAAAGAGAAACCCACGCCATGTCCACGCGGCTCCAGACCCACGCACGGCCAAGTGCCCTGGGTGGGGACGGAGAACCCACGCCGATGTGTGGCGTTACTCACGCAGATGCAGCCCAACACACAAGCGCACACACAAGGCCACAAACACACCACTCCCACAAACATGGAACCACAGAGGGCCCGCAGCCAGATGGGTGTGGACAGATACACAGATGGAGAGGGGTCTGACAAAGACAGAAGGACAGTAGGATCAGGGCCAGCAGCCATGGTGTGCTGAGGGTTGAGGGCAGGACCGCGGCTCAGGGCCTCTGGCTCCATCTCTCCAGCTGTCCAGGGAAGGGCGGGAGGCCTGGGGTCGAAGTGCCCGCCCCAGCCTTTTCAACCAGCCGTGGGCCCAGCACCTGCTGTCCCCCACGACGGGGAGTGAATGGCCGTCCTCACTGGCAAGCACCACAGCACAGAAGCTGGGGCTGGGAGGGAGGCATGGGCCAGGCCAGGGGCCTTACCTGGGCACACGGTGGTGCAGGACGTCTTCTGGGTGGCCTGGCCCTCACAGAAGGCTCCTCCGTTGAGCGGGGTGGGGTTGGTGCAAGTCCGTGTGCGCTTCTGCCAGCCGCGGCCACAGCGGTTGGAGCAGGGCGACCACTCTTCCCAGTTGGACCACCCGCCGTTCACTGTAGGGGCAGCAGGTGTCACCCTGACGGCCTGGCTCTGCGACCCTGTGGAGCCCCGCACCCCATCCCTCTACCCTGGTGAGTCTTCTGCTGGGGCTGGCCCTTCCCACTCCAACCCCTCCGGCCGGCAGGGCTGGGGACGCAGATGCCAGCAGGCAGACCTGGCTGCACCGGAGGGGACCCACGAGGGCGTCGTCTATTCCCCGCCCCACCATACAACGGCAAATGGAAGTCCAGAGAAGGCCGACACCCAGGATCACCCCGTGAGTGACGGGGGACTTTCTGCAACACTCAAGGCATCTTTCTGCAACACTCAAGGCATCTCAGCTGTGGCTCCGCCACTTCCCACTTGAGGTGGCAGCAAGGAGCAGCCTGCAGGCCTGGCCAGCAGACACTAACTCCGCCAGAATGACAGGCTTGGGTATGGGGGTGCCAACTGGGCTCTGCGCCAGCTCTGACCCTGAGAGCTGGGCCTTCTCCTTCAGGAACAAACAGGCACAGGGTCCGAGGAGGGCAAAGGCCCCTGGCTAGGAGCTCAGCGGTGCCTGACATGACCACTAGTTTGCTGTGCAACCCTGGTGGAGGCGCCTCTCCTCTCTGGGCTTCATCCTCCCCACCCCTTCCCCAGGGAAGGACGCTGGTGTCCTGGGTGGGGTGGGGGTGGGGGGTCTGGTGGCCATCTGGCCTGGGCTCCCCTCCCTCCCTTGCCTGTGTCCGACCCGCACTCTGGCCCGCACCATAGACGATGACGGTGGCAGTGGTGCTGCGGCGTGTGGCCACCATGTTCCTGGCCACGCAGGTATAGTTGGCTGTGTCTGACAGGCGGGCCTGGCGGATGATGAGGTTGTGGTCGATGGTGAGCAGGAAGTTGGTGTCCTGGGTAGGGTCAATGACGTCCTCATTCTTGAGCCATTCCACCTGCAGGAACAGGGGGGAGGGGCATGAGGACCCAGTGCCCGCTCCCCTGCATCCTGGGAAGTGGCCTGACCATAAATAGGCCTGGCCATAAACAGAACTGCTTTGCCCATGTGATGACAGAGGGGCAGGCGCTGTGCCGAGCACTACAGAACACAGTGGGTAGGACGGCCACCTGGCAGCTGGTGGCCTTGGGAAGGGACTCACACTCGGTCTCAACTTCATCAAACCTAAGAAGGGATTTAATAGCGTCTCCGCCATAGGGCTGTTGTGAGCATCAGGTAAGTTAGCATGGCAAGTGAGGAGCAGAGGGCCCGGCTCTCGGGAAGCACAAAGTAAGCGCCAGCCAGGAGCATGGCTTTCGGAAGTCTCCACGCTGACTCCCTCGGCTACGGTGAGAGGCCCGGCAGAGATTAAGATCACGGTGCCTGGGTTCAAATTCCAGCTCTGGCACGTACTGTCTGGGTCACCTGGGTGACCGCTTTGCCCCTCCCAGCCATAACTCGGGAGGACGGCATCCCCCTTGCAGGGCTGCTGTGAAGGCCTGCATGCCCAGGGCCCCACACACGTGGGAGCCCAGTGAGGGGTCTGTCATGCAGTGTGTCTGTCCGAGCCCACTGTGCAGACAGGGGCACTAGCTGGGGGCGGCGATGGGGTCAGAGCAGAGTTCTGGGGTCAGGTGGGTTGATCCCGAGCTGGAAATGCAGGGCCCCGTGTTCCGCTGTCCTCCCTGGTGGCCAAGCTGAGCTGTCCCCATGCCCTGCTCTAATTCCTGGATCCTCAGTGCAAGAAGTGGGAACACAGCAAGGGTGGTGAGAGGGGACGGGGGGCACTGCACAGAGATGCGAACGCCACGTGGTACGGGGAAGGGGTGGCCAGCTTGTGGAGCGAGCACACGCTCAGCACATGCACTGAGACCCTTTGCGGTCCGGAAAGCTGGGCCTCAGGTGCTGGGTAGGGCAGGGGCAGATGGAGTGTACGGCCACTTCCTTTGAAGGAGACGGAGCCCTGGGGGTTCCTGCCCCAGCTCTGCTCCATCCCGTGGGGTTGTGCCGCAGAAGGCCCGGCCGGGGTCTGCACATGCTGTGTTCTGCGGAGGCTGTAGCTCCTTTCTCTGCGAGACGGGGCGGGGGGTGCTCTGGGGGCCTGAGGCATCATGGCTGGTGGTAAACACCATGCCCACTGGAACCCTGCCATGCCCAGGGTTCCCCCTGTCCCCATTCTCACCTCAGCCACAGGCACCCCCTCCGGTGGGCGGCACTGCAGGAGAACCTCGTGGTCATGGGGTACTTCCTTGCTCAGAGGCTCCTGGTCAAAGTTCTTGCGCAGGTCTGGGGAAAGGGAAAGGGCAAGGCACACTCAGGGAGGCCAGGCAGAGCTGGAGACTGAAGTGCCCCGCTCTAGCCACAAGGTGGCAGTGCACACCTAGGGAATATTCACGAGGACACACCTGACCTTTTACCTAAGGAGTATCAGCTTCTTCAAGGTGGGGCCTTATCAATTGAAGTTGCAGGAACCCGGCTCCCTCCCTGACTGTGGTGGGATGCATGTCCAGTGGACATGGTGGTCTGAGATGGTGAGGAAGCTGGCAGCTTCCTTAAATAGCTGTAGGTGACAACGGGCCTTTACCGATCTGTGGGCCAGAGGTGGCCCGGATTTTGGGTCTAGAAGCCCTCACTGAGCTGGTGACCATGGGCCCCGGTGTCTCTGTGATGGGCGTCTTCAGCCAGATACCCCCACAGACACAGAATTCCCTGTCCTAGATCCACAGGGAAGGGGAGAGGGTCCAGGGAATGGAGGGGGGCTGGCAGCGTGGCTTACATGCGATGCGGACATAGGCCCGGCGACTCCTGGTGGTGCCTGCAGAGCTCCAGGCCACGCACTGGCACCAGTAATCCTCCAGCCCGAACAGCTCCTCCACCTGCTGCCGAGACACCTCGATCTGCACCTCCCGCACTGGCAGGCCTGCAGGAGAAGAGCGACACCGTCAGGGCAGGCCCAGGACACGAGATGTAGGACACAGCACCATGACGCCTCTCTCCTTCATACCCCCGGGGCCTTTGGGCTCCTCTGCCAAGTGTCTCATTTTCACCTATTTTTCTCATCTCTTCTGCCTCCACCCTGACCCTAGCCAGCACTAGAAATTGCAATGGCTCAAAACAGCCACCTTTCCCCATCCAATCCACTTCCCACCCCGCAGCCAGTGAGCAGAGCCCAGAACGCACAAATGGCATGTCATTCCCCTGGTTATGTCCCCAGTCCTCCGGCACAAAGACCCAGGCCCTGCAGTCTGCTCACTACAGCCTCATCTTCCAGTCCCTCCTGCTACCCTGACCCTCCAGCCACAGGCTCTTTGCATGCCCAGTGCCTCCCCTGGAGCTCTCTTCTGGTGAGCTCTCTGTGTCCAGTGCACTCCCAGGCAGCTTTGGGCTGGGCCTCTCTTCCGGAGGGAAGCCCCCTGACCCTGGCCCCCCAAACTCCTGCCCCTGCCCCACACGGGACATTGTTCTGTGCAGTCACCACTGCTGCCCGGCCCACTGACCACCGTCTGCAGTGGGACCGATGGCTGACGCACTCAGGTGTTGACTGCCTGTCTCCCATGGGGAGTGAGCGGGGGCTCTGCCTATTCGCTGAAGGTCTAGAAGAGAGGCTCAGCACCCATCTGAGGAGCGCACGCAGCCTCTCCGATTGTGGCTCAGGAGCCGGTGGAGCTGGAGCTGAGGGAAGGCCCTCTTCCTGGGAGCCCCCGACCTCTCCCTGGCTAGCTGTATGCACTAGCCCACGGAGAGGGAATCCCTCACTCTTCTGCCAACTCCCCCTTGACAAAGCCTTCTATACTCAGGAAAAAAGTGAGCTTTCCTGAATTAGGGCACTCATCTGAAGTTCCTCCCCAAAGCCTGTGGGAGAACTGTGAAGCCTCCTCCTCCAGGAAGCCCTCTCTGACTCCCCTGTCTCAGAATTCCTAAAGCTGGTCCTCCTTGCCACACTGTGTCCCAGCTCACCCTTTCATGGTTGAACATGGGCTCTGATCAGCCCCTGGAGGGCAGGGCTGTTGTCTAGGCATGTGCAGTGCTACAGCACGGTGGTTAAGCATAACACTGGACAGGTGGACAAGTCAGAGTCCTGGCCTCCCTCTCACTCCCAGGGTATGTGACCTTTACTAAGTTATTCAGCCTCTCTGAGCCTCAGCGCCCTCCTCAGAGTAAAGCACTCGGGGTAAACTCTAAAGGCGTCATGGCCCTTACTCTGCCCTGCACACGGCTCAGGCCGGACATGAACCAGCCGCCAGAGCATGTGCATCCCACCTGGCCCCTTCGGGTCACGTGTGGAGAGACTGAGAGTCAGACAGGTAGGTGGCAGGCCCGAAGTGCCACAGCGGGGTGCCAGCAGAGCAGAGATCAGCTCTCTTGATGTCCCGCCAGGTCGGAGCCCTGTCCCCGAACACGTGATGTCTCTCTGGGCCCCTCCAGTGAAGTCCTTTCCTTAACTCTCCTGCGTCGTGGGGGCGGGGCTTACCCTGGGAGGCCCTCCTGATGTCTGGGGCCATAAATGGCAGGGGCTAGGGTGTGTTGTTGGGGAGTACTGAGGGAAGAAGCGGCTTTGGGGGTGGGTGGGGGGGTTCTTGCCACTCGCAGTGGCCCTGGCCCTTTTTTGCCAGGTGGTGAGCCTGGCACAGTGGCTCCAGGTCTCAGTAACACCCACCAGCTGGACAGATGGGCACCATCATCCTGGGGGTCTTGACACTTTGGTAATGGTCCCAGCAGGCAGGGGGTGACAGGGCCCTTGGTCTCTCAGACTGGGGCCCTGGCACCAGGTGTCCTCCCCAGCATGATGGTGGCACAGCAGGTGGTGCCCCTTGGCCAGGACACGGAACTGGACTGCCTGCCCGGTCTGGCGCGAGCCACCACCAGTCCCGCCCGTCCTGGCCCAAAGCTGCCATCCTCTGTGCTTTCAGCGCCTCGGGGAGTGCCAGCGAAGGCCGGGTGGGGAGCTGGGTCAGAACCAGCCACACTGCTGCTTCAGAAGTCGCCCACAGGGCCACTGTGCATCCTTTGTAGCAAATGGGGATGACAGTGCTCCAGTTTCTGGGGCTGGCAGGGCCCATGTGGCTGTAGTGGGGATTTAAGAGCCACGCTGTTACTGTTACTGATAATCACAGTGGCTATGAGGGTCTCCAGCAGGGCACACTGTCCCCTTGCTCTGCCTGGACCCCCCAGAGCTGACCTCTGATACAGGCCAGAGGGGTTCGGGAAGACAGAGAAGTGAGGTCAGGTTTTTAAAGAAAAAGAAAAGAAAACCCAGAAAGAGGATGCGGGAAACATGACCGGTCCTGGCACTGTGCTCAGCGCAGTGCAGGCACCGCCGTGCTCCATCCTCACCAGGACCTTCTAGCAACACCCCAGTTTACAAAGAGAGGAATGAGCTCAGAGAGGTTGGGTGACTTCCCCAGAGTCACACAGCCAGGGAGTGGGGGCAGCTGGGATATGTTTTTTTTTTTCCTTTTAAAAATTCCTTTTTTTATTTTTAGATTTTGGGTGAGAATGCGACTCAAGTCTATTTTTAAAAGTTCCTTTAAAAGTTTGGTAAAATACACATGATCTAAAACTTAGCATTTTAACCATTTTTAGTTCAGTGGTATTAAGTACAGCAGGGGGAATAGTGTAAGCCTGGGTGGTTCTGCAACGTGTGAGCTTTTCATAGAGAAACAGAAGTTGGGGAACTGAGGAGGAAGGAGAGAAAGTAGGAGAGAGTGTCAGGAGACACACGGCATGAGGCTGAAAGAGAGAAAGGGAAAGAAAAAGAGAGACCAGTGGGGGTTGGGGGAGAGAGAGATGGGGCGAGAACACAAGGAAAAAGGCACAGAAAGGAGACAAGGATGGGAAGGGGGAGGCAGAAGACAGAAGGAAAAACGAGGGAGCTGGAAAAGCAGGAGAAAGGAAGGGCTAAGGAAGAGAGGGTGGAAAGAGAAGCCAAGGTAGGCCCTGGGGTAGGGAGCCAGCAGGAGCCTGCAGGTGGCTGGGACTGCCCAACACTGGCGGCCTGCAGGTGACCCGCACTGGGCGGGCCCTCCCTGTCTTGAGCCCTGGGGAAGACTTTTTACCCAGTAAGGATTCCTTTACTGCAGATGGGCCTGGGGACAGACAGGCCTCCCCTGCACTTGGCCTTGGGGGCGCCATTGGAGCAGGCCAGGCTTGGGGAGGTATGAGGAGTCGGGGGCTCTGCCTCCTGCTTCCCACCCCTCAGAAGCAAGGGGTCTAACACTTCCGACACTCTCCTCTCTCCCTCAGGATTTGGGTTACATCCTAGCGCCACCTCTATGATTATTTATACTTAGTATTATTAACCTTTTTAAAACTAAAACAATCAGTTTCTATGAAGGAAACACTGTATCATCACCGTGAATGGAAACAGTGCCGCTCCCGCGAACAGAGAAGACCTGTAAACTAGCCCCGGCCTAGCGTCCTGGCGTCCTGGCGTCCTGGCGGGGTGCTGCCGAGGCCAGGGCTTCCAGGCAGGCTGGCTCCTCTCTGTTCAACTGTGTGCACGGCCTGTGCTGGGGGTGCTGGTGGAGAACCCTGGTCCCCATTGGACTTGCTCCCCGGCACCGGCGTGATGGGAAGAAACTGGGAAAGGGGACAAGTACTCAGCTGGGCAAGGGATTGGGCGCTGTTTCATTGAGAGCCCAAAGTCGGGCTGGCACACGCGCCCACCCCTGGAGAAATGCTGATCCAGGCGGAGGCACGGAGGGGAAACTGAGGCCCAGGGGGGCTGCATAAAGTCTCACACAGTCTAGGGTGGAGCAAAGCCCAGGACCCAGTGTCCCTGACACCTCTGGGCCTGGGGTGTCCTGGGGACCAGGAGAGTGGGGTGACTCACCAGTGGCCTGGTCCCGGCCCTCCTGCATGACGTGGTCATTCTGGCTGACCCACTCGCCATTGCACTTGAAATAGATCTGTGTGGCAGGGAAGGCGCGGCAGCTCAGCCCCACCGGCTTGTTCTTCACGATGTAGGCATCTTCCGGCTCCTGCAGGAAGTGGGGCAGCGGCTCGGCCGGCGCTGACTGGTAGGAGTCAGGGAGCACCTCGCTGCCGGATTCAGTGCCTGTGGGGGGAGGGAGGGTTGGGGTTCTCTGGGGCCGAGGGCCGCGGAGGCCCAGGGCACCCAGTGAGCCCTCAGGGCCCATGGCACAGAGAGGGGGCAGCCGGAAGAGACCTGCTAGAGACGCCCTCTGTGACCCGAGCAAGGTCTGGCTCTCCTGGGCCTCAGTTTCCCCACCCTGCCCTGCTGTTAGGAGGCTCTGCTGTGGAGGCAGCCCCAGCTCTGTGGTGCTGTGTGCGATGTGTCCTCAGGGAGGACCCCTGGGGCCCTCCAGCCCTCCCCCATGTGCCCTGCACTAGGGCTAGCCGGCCTCCCCCCCAGCCCCGGTTCCCCGTGGCGATGCCATAGTTCATCTGAGGCTGCCCAAAGCCCCAGCCAACCAGGATGATGGAAGTGGGGAGAAGGGCCAAGATCCGCAGGGGCGTGGGGGGGGGCAGCGGCGGCGGCAGCACAGGCCCGAGCTGCCTGGTGCAGCGTGGCGGGCCACCTCCTCCCCCGGGAAGTCCAAGGCAGGTGGCCGCATGGAGCAGGAGACGACCTTCCCAGCAGCCTCCACCCCGAGGCGCCCTCCTCTGGTCTAAGGCTCTGACCCACCCCCTAGCCTTTCCCACCTCAGCCAAATCCAGACCCTCCACCCTCAGGACCCTAAGGACGAGGACAATTCAAAGGCTGGGAACACAAGGAGGCTGTCAGTCTCCTCCCCGAAAGGGCCAAAAGGAAAGCTGGCTGCCCACCTCCCTGGAAAGAACAGCACCTCGGGAGGTGAGGCAAACAGGAAGGGAGAGAGCCAGCCACCCAGTGCCAGGAGGGGGGAACCAGGCCGGGCCAGGCTATTGGTTCACAACCCACTTAGGAAAATTGACTTTCCAATGCCAAGCGCCAAACGATCAAGCGGCAGGGGACTTTGCAGTAGGAGCTCGTCCTCCTCTGCTAACTGCTCCAGAGGAAGCAACAAATTAAGCTGCAGGGGTGCCCGTGGCTGCCCCGCCCTTGCCCTGGCTCAGGCCCATCACTGTCCCAGCGCCCCAAGCGGGGCTGGGGGCTGGAGGCCCGAGAAGCCCCCGGATCACGCCCTTGTCCTCCAGAGTAGGATGGACCCAACATGCCTGACACGCCCAAGCCGAGTTGTCCTCTGTGCGCCAGCAGCTCCTGCTAAGACTGGGGGCCCTTCCGGAGCTCTGAAAATGCATGGGCTGTCACTGGCTCCAGGTTCTGGGCTGCGTGCGTGTGTGCGTGCGTGCGTGCGTGTGTGTGTGTGTGAGAGAGAGAGAGAGAGAGAGAGAGAGCGAGAGAGGGAGATCGACCCTTAGGGGAGGGAAGGAAAAGCCAGCAAGAAGGGGAGTGGCTCCAGCCCCATCCACTGTGCTCCGTGTGACCCAGGGACAGTCCCTTAACTCCAACTCTTCATCTTGGAAGAGGTCAGGATCCTGTGAGATAAACACGTGTGAGTGCCTAGGAGGGGCTGAGCACATAGTAGGTACAAGTTACTGTATTAAAAGGACAAGGAATGCTCACTCACATTAGGTGCTTTGCTTATAATACTTTGCTGAAAACGTACCTAATTCCTGTAACAACTTTGTGAGGTATTTTATATTAGCCCCCAGTGTACTGATGGGAAAACTCAGGCCAGAGAGGGTAAGCAACCTGCCCAAGAGCACACAGCTAGCATGAGGCAAAACCAAGGTTTGAACCCAAGAAACAGACTTCAGGGTTTGGGACGTTGCCCAGGACTCCACAGTTCACTGGAGTACCTCCATGTACTGTGGGTGTCCCCCGAGAATCCTAATGCACCCTGACACTGGCCAGGACTCTCTAACGTTGCGTCTCTCTCACCAAAGGTCCAGCGAAGCTAAAACCATCCTTCCTGTTTCAAAGCCGAGGAAACTGATCATCCAAATGAGGCAGGTGAGTGACCGAAGGCCAGCTGCTACAGGGCAGCTGACCGGGAAAGCGCCGAGCATTCCTGAAGCCAGGCCAGGCTCCCTGACACTACTCCCTTCCCTTTGCCAGGCAGGGAGACACCTTCTCTGTAGGGGAACTGGTAGCCTCTGGGGCCTGGGAGCTTGGGCAGTTGGTACTGAGATGACACAGTGCCCAGGGAGCTGGACACTGGTCTCCCAGTGGCCTGGAAACTGGTCACTGTGGCCTCTCTGCCGGGCTGGGCAGCTCTAGGGAGAGAACATGGGAACCAAGTGGGCACCGGGCAGCAGAGAACCTGCCAGGCCCCACGCCCACCTCCCCTCACCAGCGTCCTGCCTCCGTCTCAGGCCCGATCTCAGGCTTCAAACTCAGATACCCTGGGGTCTGAACCAGGCCTTGCTGGCCTCTCTCATCTGTGAAATGGAGGACTGGACCTCCCTCTGAGGGCTGGCGACCCCGGCGGGAGGTGAGTGGGAGCCCGTGGGCACAGCTGTGTGCTGGCCCTACCTTCTCACCACGTGGGCCCCAGCCCCCAGGTGACGGCTTCCTTGGCTCTCTGCGGCACTGCAGGCTGTATTTATGACTTTGTTTTATAACCCTAATGCGGCGCATTTATAAAGCAGGCACAGACTCGACGGAGGAAAGTCAACATTAGACATCCATTAGTGCGGCAGGCCCCGCCCCCCCTGCCGCACCCCTGCTCTGGGCCCTGGCACGCAGTCATCTCTGCCCTTGGCAGGGATAGATGCTTGGGCATCCTCATCAGCGCCTCTCCGTCACGGCAGCGCCGGTGGCTCTCGATGTAGCTGCTGCCCCCTTGCCAACATCCCCACCCGCTAGGCGTCCTAGAGGCCAACGCTGCCAGGAGACAAGGGAGAAGAACAAAGGGCGGGCCTGAGACTCCTCCCCAGAGGGACCACTGGCAGACTGCAGGCTGGCCAGCATGCAGTAGTTGCTCAGTGAATGTAAATAAATCAGGGGGGGTTGGCTAGAAGCTGCTGCCAGGGCTTGGGGAGCAGTGGACTTGGGCCCCTGCCCTAACCGCCGGACACTTCCCCTCCTCCTTGGCCCTGGCTCGGGCCCTAGTAGCTGGGGCAGCTCCAGGGCGTTGCGGATGAGGGCTACCTGAGCCCGCCCTATGAAAGCCAGCTTGGAGGGAGCAGAAGGATGGGGTCTTGGGGTTCCTGAGTGCTAACTCTGCCAGATGCTTTCAGAAAGCATTTCACGTAAACTCACTGACCCCGTAACAACCCTAGACAGACAGAGGTTCCCAAACCTTCTTGGTCTTTAGCGTCTTGGTAATTTTTATCCAGTAATTTTTCTTGGTATTTTTACTGCAAAGCTGTAAGAAATTCCTAGTGGTTCTGTTTATTAAGTAGTTAAATCCAAAGAGTGTTTGTGCATGTATCCTAACACCTTAATAACCATTTGAAAAAATAATGCACATCAATTGAAAGAAAAAAAATAACATTTGCATTCCATCCCCAAGCAGCCACAATGACTAATGGGGTGTGTGCACCTGTCGGGGGCTGTGTAAGTCCCCAGATCTTGGAATCAGAGTGGACACTGCCACCCGCGGTGTTTGTCTCAGGTGCTCCCAACGGCCCAGGCCCCAGCTCGGCAAAGACATGACGCCAGTGAAAGGACAGGCGTGTGACGCGATGCTGAGGTACGAGCTGTCTCGAGCTGGAAGTTGTCGCAGTGGCTGGCAGCTGCCCAGTACTGCTGTTTCCTGGAAGATGAAAAACGTCTCGTGGCGCCCCTGCGAGTCTGCTGTGGCACCCTGGGGTGCCTCGGCGGACCGCTGGAACCACAGCCCCGCCGGTTCGTTAGGCACTGTTCTACCCTTACAGTACAGACGAGGAAACTGAGCCCCAGAGGGTGTTAAGTAACGGGGCCTGACCACAACGCGCGGGCGGAGCGGGCCGGGGAGCAAATGTGGGCTGTCCGGTACCAGCACCTCACTCCTGACGGGGCTCGGGCTGTCCCGGCCCCTGTGTGCCGGTGCTGCAGGTGCTGCAGCCAATGTACTCCCTCCGACCCGCACGGTGGGGACCACCCTCCCACTTCCCAGAAGACGTGGCCCACCAGGGGGTTTGCCTGGGGTCAGTGGGAGAAGCCAGGCTTCCAGTGGGGGCACCCAGCTCCATGGCTGCTCTACAGCGCGCCCCCCACCCCTTCTTTCCAGAGGGAATAAAACCCTGAGCAGAGCACCGCTGGGAGGGGACCTCGCCTTTGCCAGGCCACATCGGAGTTTCCCGCTGTGGAAAATGTCCCATGTAAAGGTGTGTTTTTCTAATAACCAGAACTCACTGGGATCTATGGTCACAAAACTGCAGCCTGCCTTCAAAGCTGCAAACACGAACGGCCCAGCTGGACCCAAATGAAGGTGTGGGGGCCGCAGCCGCAGACAGTTAACCCACAGGGAAAGAACCACCACCGAAGTCACGAGCCCTGGGTCGCGCCCCGGCTACCGACTGGCACTGCGGTGGGGCCTTCCTCCCAGGCCCAGGGAGCCGGCCTGTGACATCAGGGAGCCGGCGGAGTCCATCTCTCAAGCCCTACTCTGCTTCTAACACTTTGAGATTTGAAGATTCCTTATGGGGAATCTGTTGACCTACGACAGCATCCCAATGTGTAAATTTCATTTTCAGGAAGTTAATTTGCTTCAAGTGGGGTCACCTTTCTTGCCATTTTTATTCCTGGCTCAAAACCCAGCACATCCCGAGGTCTCAGACACAGCATGGGGGGCAACGGGGCGGGGGGCGGGGCAGGCAGAGGAACTGCAGGCTGCTGGGCTCCCTCCATGCGCCAGCTCACCCGCCCCAGGCGTCCGTTCGAAATGACCACCAGCGCCTCTGGGTGGGACCTCTGGTGGGCACCCTCACTTCTAATTCACCTACACCTGCTTATACGAGGTCTCTTGGCAGCCAGTCCTTCGGCAGCAGATTCACAGGGACCGAGGTCATACTTGAGGGCCAAGCGGCACAACATTCCCCTTCAGCTCCTCCAACCTGGACCCACACACCGCCAGGTCGGAGCTCCCCACTGCCTGCCTCAGCTCTGTGCGCCTTGGGGCAGAC